CTGATTTGACTCCTTCACATTCACCATAGCAACCCTATGATCAACATATGCGTGACTCTGAGCGTGTGCCGAAATAACAGCGTTGTTAAGGCATACTTATGGTCACCATTATATGAATCTCTCTCAACAAGTTACTGCAAAGCTGATAGAACTGGGTGACAGTACACCACTATGAAGGACTAATCCTAGACTCCAACCTTTGAGGACATTTAAGTGTGCCCCCAAGATACTATGTGGCCAATCTCCTTTCTCTTGTTCCCTTCCTACTCTAATAATGATTGATATACCTTGCTTTGAATATTCACAGTTAAAACAAAGAAAGTAACATTGGGGGACAAATATTGCTGGAGCAGATAGCTTTGCTTTAATGTGTCTTTCCTTTTTTTTTTTTTTTTTAAATTTTATTTATTTATTTATTTATTTTTATCAGTGCCAAGGATTGAACTCGTGACTGCCTGCTTGCAAGGCAGGAGCTTATGCCACTGAGCTAAATCCCCAGCCTGCATCTTTCCTTTTATGGAAATGCAAGCCTCAGCTTCTCTAATATTTAACTGAAGCAGATCCCCACTTGCTTATCTATTGAACTGCTCTTCTGTCTAGTCTGACTGTTATTCCTGCTGCTGCTGCAACCACCTGTAATTGAGAGGAATTTGCTTTAGTAGCCTGCTGGTTTAATCCTGCAAGATTTCTACCAAGAATCTGCATCACACAATGGTGCCCAAAATAGGCTTTTAAGAAATAAATAATATTGCATGCTTTAGCATAAGAGATAAACTTTTAGCGGATAATTTTATTTTAGCCTTCTACCACAAGGACGTTATCACACTACTTTTAAATGAACTGAGGCTTAGTAATTTATTTCATTTTTTAAAAAAGACTTTGTTTCAGCTTAATGGTACTTAAAAACTTTTCTATAAATTATTAGTTTTTAACTCATCAAGATGATTTCATATTACAAAGTAATGATTATTTCTTTCCTTTAACTATTTGAGTCAGTTTAATAATATACCATTAATTATTAAAGTAAATTATAAACTATTATATGGTTAGATTCCTTTCTAACACCCCCCCCAAAAAAAAAGGAATTGAAATCAAATCTTCTTTTCAAGTACTTTTTTGTGGTTTTTGGTTCACTTTTTCTTTATGGTAATTGCTATAGATTTGAGTAGTGAATACAGCATTTGTGCAACTTCCTCCAAAATTTGATCAATCCTGCCATTCTTCAGTTTTATGTTTCATGAAAATTGCATATTAGCCATGATGGCAAGGCACCTCCAGTAACCATACTGGTAATTACTTTTTTGTGGCCCCTCTTCTGATAGTTGGTCTTCCTGGACATTGATTTATTTAGTCTTAAGAAAGAGAACTTAAGAGACAAAGCAAATTGTATAATAATGTATGAGTTAAGAGCCACTTGTATTACAAAAACAAACATAATAGGACTAAATTTTGTGTTTAAACAAATGAGTTATACACTGTGAGTCTAAACCCTCAGTGAAAATCATTTCTCTTCCATGAATATGCACACAGTGAACTCTGCTGGCATTGGAGATGGAGCTCTGAAAAGGCTCTAGAGACCTTGGTAAAACCTCTCCTGTGAATTACATTAAACCAGTTGGGACATGATGAAAGAATGCAAGGTGTAAACCCCATAAGGGCCTGTGAATCACCATCTAGAAAGGTTCTTGAAGGGGTAAGAACATTTTATAGTTTGATCAATAGCAGCCTGAGAAGTAGGCTGCAGAGGAAGGACAAGTTGAGGATTAAAACTTTTAGACACTTGAAGAACTGAATTATTATCCTAAGAATGTTCTCAAGGGAAACACACACACTGAGAAAGAGAAAGAGAGGCAGGCAGGCAGGCAGACACACAGGCATGCGTGCGCGCGCACACACATACAGACTGATTCTGAATCTTTTTTTATCAGATCTGAACCAACAGCTTTTCTTCTGGGTCAAAATTCAGTTAAAGAAGATATGATGATAATCACCTTTTATCATCCCAGACCTAACACTGACCCGTGGCATCTGTAGAGTTTTCTAGAGGTGCAAGTCTCTTCCATCATAGTTTTGGGTAGGTACTAGGAGGAAATAAAAGATAGGGTTGCAGATTTCAAAAGTGCATTAAGTTTTCCATCGAATGCCTCATAAAAAGGGATTCTTGTTCCATTTTTATAGCAGAATGGACCTTTATTTTGAAATATGTATGAAGTTTTGTTAGAGTTGAGTGTTTCTTTCCTTCATTACTACTGTTTTACTCTTAAAGAAACCATTACATTCATTGGTCATCAGAATTAAAATTATGTTTGTAAAGAAGATAATTCAGTTTAATGGTATGGCCACTGCTGCGAGTTCAAATATAAATGTCTATCTATCCTGGTTAAAGTTTTTGAACTCAGAGCAGATTGTAATATAAATCATACACTGAGAAATGGCTGTGTAAGCATTCAGACTTTGAAGAGCTGCTCCTAACGTGGCATACTCAGCAAGAGCACATTGGCGTGCTGACTGCCTGTGCCAAGTCCAGGGGAGCAGTCAACCTTTGACCTGGTGAAGAGGGTTGATACAGGTGGAGATGCGACGGCCAGAAAAAGGAAAATGCAGGCCTCATTTAAAGACATGTGGCCTTTGAGATAGAGTCTCAACCAACACCTTAGCCTCTTTCCATTTTTCTGAACTGGATCCTTGGCTTGGCAGGGCATTAAATAAATCTGAAGGAAATCTGGAAGAAATCTGAGGAAAGCTTATTTTATTGTGGAGACACCAAGTGAAGAACAAAAGCAGGAAATAGCGAGAAGAGGGGAAAATGAAGGACAGGGAGCTGAGTAAGTTAGTCATGCCAGTCTAATGCCAGTCCTTGTGCTAGTCCCATGCCTGTCTCACTTGAGCATCACACCCCCGCTGGATTCTGTGACCGATCCTCACTGCCGTAGCTTGCCACCAGCAGCTACACAATAACTTATGGAGAGTCTGTAAAGGAGGGCCTTGTGTTTTGTTTCATTCTTTGGCAGAAGTTTGCAAGTGCTGCATACAGTAAGATCTATACTTTAAATACCATCATTTGCTTTTGCCAAGGCATATACTAGGGCCTCTCTGGAACCAGATGTGACTTTAATACCACAAACAACACATTTAAAGCATATCATAGAAGACATACTTCACAAGGACATAAAAACACTGCTGTGCAAAGAATCAGAAAAAAAAAACCCAAAATATTTTTGAATTGAAATTAAAGTGCATTTTCATTTATGGACACTAAACCCGAAAGATCTGAGAATTCTCCATTTTTAGAGGTTGTCTGGAGGTCTTCCACATTTTGAAATATTGTCATTTTAGAGGTCACCTTGAAATATCAAAACTTCCCTTAGTGTTCTGGGACAGGAAGCTTAAACTGGCCTCCTGTTGGGTGCTTCCCACAATTTATGATTTCCAGTTCAGGCTTGAACACACAAGTAGAAAAATAAACAAGATTAGGGCTATCCTGGAATATATAAGTCTTTTAGGGAAAACCGGTAAAACAGGTATCCTACCAGCCCTCTTAAAAATCAAGTTCACTTAACCTGGCTTCTGTCTTGGTGCCAACCAAAGGGTACTTTTATACACTCCTCCCAGCCAGCCTTCTTATTCAGTCTTTCTTCCAAGACATTGAATTGTTTTAGTGAGGAGGAAAAGAAGTGAAATAACCTCTTGTCTAGGAAAACTGCATTCTACTGAATAGTAGGAATACTGAAAATAGTAGGAATACTAGGAATACTGAAAACTATTCAGGCCTAGCAACGATGCTTTCTTAGAAGGCAGACAGTTTTCCACGAAAACCAAGAAAATATTAACGAAGTGTTGAAGATTCAGCTTTTCTCCAGAAAAGTGACATTCTACTCATAGCTCTTTCATTTCCATTAATGGAGTAGTCCTGTTAGAGGGGAGAGTGGCACCCACAACCTCCAGTTCCGTGCCTCAGGCAGTGTTCTCCCTCAAGCAGTGGGAGGCAACTGGTCAGGTATCCTCATGGTTTTCCTTGTGAACCTCTGCTAGCCCTAGGGCTTCTTAGAGTGTTTTAAAGAAACATCCTACACAAGGTCCCATTGAGGTCCACGTTACTAACCCAGTGTCACTTTCAGGTGTATCTCTTTTCTAAGTTCCTACTGTAGAGGGTTGTTTGGGACAGGAAAAATACAGGTGTGGGCTCCCTGCGGTGAAGGGCCTTGCTTGGTCCGGAAGCTATAACATGTATGTCTAGATGCTTCTAGATATAGAAAGAAAGCAAAAACACTGCCCACTGTCTTCCATCTGTTGCCTGTGCTCCTATGCTCTGAATGATCTTTTGCCTTTTGACTGGATTGCTTACCTAAAAATCCCAGGCCCCTTTATAACTGTTAATCAAATACAGAACTAAAATGTCGTGAAGAGATATTGCTCCTGTATATTGAGAGGTAAAATAAGAATGAAAAGAAAATTAGTATTGGAATCAAAGGCTGGTTCATTTTTTTAAAAATATCTTTTAAATTAAACTATATTTTCCCCAGAATTAAAAATAATAACTGTAATTTCTTAACAGAAAAAGATCTTATGAAATGCTGTGCTGTGTTCAGTTTGCAATTACAGTCAGTGCAATGCCTGTGTGACTTAGCGCGTTTAAATTCTTAAAGCAGCATGTGTTGAAAGAGGGTTTGCATCTAGCATGCATTTAAATTTAGTGCAAGCCCTTGTTTTAAGGAGTTTTATGTGGTTAAGCTGACATTGCTTAATAAACATTCGAATAAGTTGAGCATAACCTAGAAGTCGTTTAGAAGTATGAGTCATTTTCCTGACAAGCCAATAAGGTAAGAGAACCCAGGTTGCAAAACAATTACTAGCCTGGCTGAGGGACCCTGGAAATATATTACGGGTATCAGTTAAGAAAACAAAGCAGTAGTGTTTTGCCACACTGCAGAGAACAAGCTAAGGTTGCTAACCAGACCAAGTAACTGCACTGACAATGCCAATTTTTACATTTGTTTCAGAACAAGGGCCGCTCAAACCACCAGAGGTAAGACTAACATTTAAAAAATTTTTTATATAATCTTAGCATTGCTAACTTAAGCAGTCTTGAGCCTTCACAGTGTTAAATGTGCCTTTTGGAATGTACAGAGAAAAACAGAAATGGAGGGAGCAACCAGGAGCTTGTGAATGAAAGGAATAGTTGAGAGGAATTTTCAGACACTGTCTGGACCTGTTAGAGTGAAGAAAATTAAGAATATGTGGTCTCACAGTGTGTGTGCAACAGGACAGTTTCTGCAGAGGGAAGACAGGCTTTCAACTCAGAGAGCTGGTATACATATCTCCTGTCCTGAAATGTGGTGTTGCCTGACATTTGCCACTACCGAAAATTCTAACATCCTTCATCTAAGGAAATCATTTCATATTTCTAGTTTTCTCAAACGTGATTAGTGCTATCACCTGTTGACCCAGTCAGTGTCCCATAACATTCTGCTTTGGTTTAGTATTGTAACTCCTAATATCTTAGAAATATGTGACCACTTAGCTATCACAATAAGTTTAGTTTACAAATTGCAAAAGAATGAAAAACATTACCAATTCCAGGTCAACACTGCCTTCAATGAAAATTAACGGTTTTTCCCCTGTACGCTGCAAAAATGCTAAATCAAAACCTTTAAAGATAATTCCATAGCAGAGAATAGTAAAATGTAAAATGTATGTGCTTCATTCATGCACCCCCCCCCAAAAAAAAAACAGTAATTGGAGAATTCCCGGACAAAAGAATGACAAAACTGTTTACCAAATCATTTTAAAACATACCACTTATCGCTCTTTAAAAGTGCTATCAATTTCTAGCACCAAACTAAACAAGAAAAACAGAAACAGTATGTTTTAAATGAGGTAGTATTTAAAAGTCATGAACCATACAGCAAGATGTCCTATGAAACACTTCTTTCTACTTTTTTTGGCATAAACACATAATTTGTACAAGTAGGGCATTAGAAAGAATGGAGTAGGAAGAAGTTCCTGGTAGTGCAGCTGTTCTGTGAACTTTAGAATCTATACGCTGCAGTTCCTAGAATCTTTAGATCCAGAATGTGGACTGTGCTTTAGAATCTAGGATCTGCCTCAAGAAATGACTTAAAAGATCTTTTTTTAAAGCCACATAAGCCATTTTAGGCTAAAGTAAATTAACCTAGATTTTCTCCTAGCGTTTTCCTTGTCAGGTAAAGTTCTTCCTGAGGGCTGTCAGGCTTTTCTTCCAGCAGAGCCAGAGCTCTGGCAAAGCAGCCTTTCTTCACTTACACTCTCACCCTGTTCCTCGATTGTTGAGATAGATTTCCTTGTCCAGCCCTGAACTTTAACTCAGTGTTACTTAACACATACTATTAGATAGCTGTATGTATTACTTTTTCTGAGAACGATGGTTTCATTTTATTTTAATAAGGTGCTGTGAAGTGGGTGTATTTACAGAAAGAAAATGTGCTAAGAGGAGTTTAGTCATTTTCACATGATATTAAATAATTCTCTCAGGCTCTCTTATACTTTTAAAAATTACACATAGGCTTATTCATTAAAATAATTAATTTTCACATTAATTTTTTAAATGTCACATTAATTTTTAGTGATTTGCTTAAGTTTTGAATATGTGTTATTTAATTAATATGTGACTCCACTAATAATCTCTGCTTTGGATGGAGAACTCTGGTTGGCCAATTTACTTAAAAATTTCAGTTGATTTAAGGAAGAGATGTAAGAAAGAACGTTAAGAAGTCTTTTCACCCCATAATAGATATATTTACTCTTAGGAGTGTCTTTCCCCAAGTAAATGAGGAGACCCTTTTTTCCCCCTCAACTTAAAGGTATTTTTCTCTCCTTGTGCCTGTTTAGAGTTCTCTTCTGTTTGCTTTTTAATAACCATGATAGTGAATTTTTATTTTTAATGATAGACTTCATTCTCAAGGTTTAGGTTGGTTTTCAATAGCCACAAATCCACCCTCATATCCGCCTCTCATGGACCTTCCAAGTTCCCTCTGACAAGAAGCAAGTCTATGATTGCATATCTGTTCACCTCCTTTAAATACACCTCCTTTAAATGCATTCCTCGATGCAGGTGAAAACAGAAGAACCAAAGCTTGCTTCCTTGTAGCCAGTGAAGCTTTGCTTGTTTTGTTAGTATAATCAACAAGAATTTTTTCCCCAAAAAGAACTAAGAAGACAGATTCTTGCATAATGAAAGTCTTTTAAAAAACAAAGTAACAAGTAATGAAGCAAGAAATAATTACCAAGTGCTTATAAAATTCCCTTTTGTCCCTCTATCCTTCCAGGTAGATCAAAGCAGATTGCAAAGGCTCTGCAGACTGATTCTCATGGTGTTTAGGGTTGTAACTGAGAGCTCCCACCGGCAGCTACTATATGTGTCCTTCTCACCTTCCCCTCTCCTGCTTGTTGGGGACAAGGGAGTGTCCAGTTCATCCTAGGATTTTGAGAATACAGGTCAGGAAGGGACAGGGATGACAGAATGACAATTGAGTTTTGCATTTTAAAATTGTTTAGATTTTGTCCTTATTTTTACAATATACTTTTTATATTACAAATTACAAAAAAATCTCAAATTCTCCAAGTGTACTTGATCAAAGTAGCTAAAAATTCCCTCTTATTGAAAATGTTTTCTTCTTTAACAGGTAGTTTATTTAATTGCTAGCCTTTCCTGTAAAAACTTTAAGTTTTCAGAGTGACTGATTTTCAGTGACTTCAGAATGAAAAACCTAAAACATAAACACACGCATAGGCCCAGATACTCCGAAGAATGAGGCAGGAGATTCTCTTGAGTTCAGGAGTTTAGGCTCAGGCTGGGCAACATGTCTGTCTCCAAAATTAAAAAAAAAAGGAGGCAGTAAGTTAGCAGTAAAATTCATCCTTTTTGTAACTGTAAACTTTCAAGATTCCACAAAATAGCAATAATATGTTATCACTTCATCTGTGCTATGTGGCAAGAACTATGTCAAGCACTTGACATAAGTTTTATGTTTTATCCCCTTTCTATGGGTTAGCAAACTGAGGCACAGAGCTACACTGAATCTGAACTTAGTCTTATTCTTTAATCTGTATGCTTAACTGTGCTGTGTTGTCAATTTTAATCTTAAACTCAAGGTAATAACGGAGTTTCTTTTGAACTCATGTTTTCTTTTTCACATTTTAAGTTTGTAATTTCAAAGTACTGTAATGCTGGTTTTGAGATTCTAGGGCACAGACCAGACAAAAGATTGAATTCTTTTCCTGGATCCCAAAACTTTTGAAAAAGGAGGTATAGTAAGATTAGCAAAAAGACACTTTCTGTGATATTTTAAGAAGGTCATGGGGTATGGAGAAACTGAATAGCATCAAGATATCTATCATATATTTTCTTGATGAAAATATTGTCAGCAGTGTGGCTCAATGTCCTTTATATAGAGAGCATCAAAATTTTTGTAAAATTTCAGGTAGTTTTTTTTTTTTCTTTGAAAGTTTTCTTTCCTATTGTCTGATGCAAATCTGTATCATGGTTCTTTGTTTTGCTGTCTGGTTACCAAGGAGTTGAGAGTAACATTTTCCTCTCATAGTCACTCTCTTTACTGTACTTTTTCCGTCTTGTTCAACAGAGCTTCAAATACTGATTTTGATGATCCTATTAGTCTTTTACAAATCCATTTTGAAAGTAGTTGGAGTAAAGACAGAAATTACATATTTCAAGTTTCACCAGATTTCTTCCAGTTTTCTTTCACCTGAGAACCCAAGAATCTGCCAGATGTGGCTTTGAGACCCCATGGAAACTAGACTCCGCTTCAGACAGCATCAGAAGGAGCCCTAGGAAAAAATCCATGGCTAATGTGTGCTTAGCAAACCTACTGTGTTCTGAATGAAACCAAGTCTTTACACATAGCGAAAACGCAATGCACACAAAAAGAAAATTGCTTTTGTGAAAATCTGAATTATGTGGTAGGCATAGACTTAATTTCTTATCCAGCTGTATAATAAAAAGTGAAAAATCAGATTCTTCTTACTGAGATGACAGTAGTTATTAGGTGGGAATGAGTTTATTGCTTGTGAAATCAAATGTGTAGTCATGCATTTTCTGTAAGTTTTGTACTGCACACTGTATCTTATGGAATCATTTTCTATAACAGTTCACTTTTTTACCTTCCCAGTCCTACCTTGCATGTCAGTTTGGGTTTTTTATATTTTTATTTTTTCACAGTGTTCAGATACGGTGTAATTGAGACACCATTTTTTATTTAAGTGTTTGCTAAAATCAGAGCTTCAGATCTTTGTTTTGAGGTTGTTTACTTTTGTCTGTCTCTGGTTGTCAGGCTCCGGATATAACTGAATTAGAGGTTTGTTAGGTCAGTTTAAGGCTAGTGCTAGTGACTTTACTAAGAATATTTCCTCATGAAAAATGGGTTTTGCTCTCTTGTTTCTTATAATGACTGTGACTTAAACAGAAAAACAAAAAATAACCCTCACCAAAAAATCCTGATATATACCTGGAGTTAGCAGACAAAAATACTTGTTTTTCTTAGTGTCATATCAGTGGCTTATCAAATATAATAATGTTCAAATGGAAGACCTATTTTAAAATGTTATAAAAGCAAGTTTTAAAACTATATTTTGTTCAAATTTAGTCATGCTTTTAATTGGAAAAATCCAGCATTCCTTGTCCTTTCGCAGTATGAGAGTTAATATAATTTCATAATGCTAAATAACCAAAACATCTTTGTTTTGCTTTGTTTTACCTTTCTGCACAGAAACGAACCAATGGACTCCGAAGAACTCCCAGGCAGATGGATCCAGGTGTGTTTCTAAGCATGTGCTCTAGGATGACTGCAGTTAAGTGATTATGAAGGTTTATGGGAATTGCTATAGAAAGTCAGGCATTTTGTTGGCCTTTGTTCTTCACAGTCTGGTACATATACTGTGTGGCCAGGAGGTGAAGGTCTAAACTGTAAATCATTCACATGATGAGTAACCCCCAGTACCACATTCTCCACAATCAACAATTGAGCTGGTTATTCACTTACTAAACAGCCTCAGGGTGCCTGGTTAAAGCTCACATTTCCAGCAATCTCCTTCTACTTCTTCCTGAATAGGATAAGAAAACTAACCAGCAGGTTAGTACTTCAAAAGTAAACATTTTTCTAAGGAATTAGGAGGAGAATATACAACTGGTAGCCTCCTGATGCGGGAAAGTTTCTTCATCTTGTATTCATACACTTTTATAGGAGAAGCATGGTTTTAAGGACTTTGTAAGCAAGTGTCCTTTCTGGAGACCAATGAATTACCTACAGAAAACATTCAGTTATGTTCTACTTAACTTTGTGGGGTTTACCCTGTCATTATGTTAGTATAATTATACTTTTTCATCCATTAGGCAGTGCTTTCCACAGTTTAATTACCAAATATTTTGCTTTGTACATTATTCTACTATTAAAGGTAAGAGGTATTCTCAATGAAGGGATTTCAAATATAGGAACTTGACAGTGAATCAAGTGGGACATGAAATAAACAATAGCTTCGCTGAGAAATAATCTGGACTATGTATTTTGTTTTGTTTTGTCATTGTAAGCAGTGTTCACCTAGTTGTAAAGTTTAATTTTCAAAGCCTTATAGCTTTCAACTGAAACCACACCCATGGTAGTCCTGCCAGTTTATGAGCTGTCTGAGATTTATAGGAGCTTTGTTGCCTCTGGCTAGAGATTGCCTCACTTGTATCCTGAGATCAGTTTAAATCTTCCAACTGCAGAACAAAAAAATTGAGGTCATTAAAAAAATAAGATTCTGGTTTGTTTTTTAATAGTTCTTATTTTCCCAAACCATTTGCCGAGAGTTCTAAAATAATATTTAGAAATGACTTATTTTATTCTACTTAGTAAGAGTATATGACTTTAAACATATTTTTTTCTTATTGTGTGTAAGTTGTATTTACATTGCACAGAATTTTCTAACCTTTATGTTATTTTAAATGCTTTCTTTCTTTCTTTCTTCTATGGGCATTTTTATTTAGACCATCCCCCTCCATAGAAATGAATTTCTGTATTTATAGTGTATCAGGAGCACATTTAACTCTCAACAATTTATAGCAAACATTTTTAGAATCATTTAGATTATTTAAAAGAAAATATAGTCAATTCACAGATTATAAATATGGCCGACTAAACCATTAATAAAATAAATTGGTACCTTTTTTTCCTAAAGGTGATGGTTTTGTATAGGTATAACGCTTCAGATATTTCTGTTTGTTCAAAGATTTTAGAACTTCATGAAGCATAATCTCACAAAAGCAAAAGAAGTACTTAAAACAATATATAGAATAGTCTCCCACTAGGTATAATTAATTTATATAATTATATTTCTCCATATTTAAAAAATAGATGATACTCTGGCTATTGAAGTTGCTGAAGGGGTAACAACCATTTCTCCCTTTAGCCCTCTTTGGGTTATGCTTGAATTATATGGAAAGGGACAGGTAGATTCTTGCATCTCTGCCTTTTTCTGCTGACACATTGTGAAGCCTCATTTTTCAAAGTTAACCCCTGTCTAATGAGCATATCCTGCTGCTACTGATGTGGCTGATGTTTAGCAAGTTTTCACAGTTGTAGACAGATGTTTTATTCAAGATGTTTAAACAAAGGATTGGTATCACTGAGACTGCATGGACGAGCTGCTTCTCAGGAGCATTATTTGTTGTTAGTGCTTTAACTGTGGAAGTTCCTTTGAATTTGGGGTTGTTTTCTCTTTCTGGCTAATGTAATTGACATCTGAGTGCTAGTACACTGACTGCTTTCCAGGCTCTCACTAGGGTGGCTTGTAGGAAAAAAAAAAGTGATTAAGCCAGGTGTAACTGCTCCATCAGGCTTGAATTTCAGATCCATGTATAAATGTAGATTGTATATTTTTTCCATAGGCCTTTGTATTGGGAAAGAACTCAATGCATAGTTCTGTGAGGTTGCAGGTACTTAATAGATGTTCATTACATGAATTAATAAATGACTCTACACTTTTTCTGACAGTATTGGCCCTTTTGCTTTTTCAGTTCCCCATTGAGGTATTATTAATGTACCATTCCATCACTTAGTGGTAGAAAGTACAGCTCTGAGCACATTGTCTTGACGGGGAACTGGACTTAACTATTTACTTAATTGTTTGAAAGACATTCAACAATTTTTCCTCTCTGTTTCGCAGTGTCCTTCTCTGCAAAAGGAGACTGATATATCAACTTTAGAAAGTTAGTACAGCATTACAGGATTTAATACAATACTTTTGAAAGTGCTCAGTATGTAATAAATGCTATTTGGTAGCAATTGTACTAATTAGTCTGTATTAAAGCATATTGTTTACCGTTGTACATTTTGTCATACTTGCCAGTTGTTTCCTTGCACAGAGAACCTGAAATATATGTTGAATTTCCACTGAACTAAGTTGTTACATAATCTTAATCATTGTCAGATTTGCTGGTTTTTCACATTGCCTAGTGACTTTCATGGTCCTTTACTTAATTTTACCGATGGATATAGTCAACAGTGATGGTTGAGACTTTTGTTGGTAAAGTTACTAGTGTTTGGGAGTGCAATGAAGAAACAAAGAAAACTTTACAAGGTTGAAAATGTATATTGTGGCGTTCTCTTTAACCAAAGAAAGAAGTGGGCCATAGGTTTGCTTTGTGGCTTATCATTTTCTTTTAAACATTAATGCTATTAATAATTGTAGTTATTCTTTATAACAATATTTTCAAGTGACTTTGCACTTTAGTTTTTCTTGTTTTGTATTATGTGCTATTAAATTTATCAACTTACAATCCTGACTGCTTTCATAAAAATAGTAATGTGTTAGATGCAAATTTTGGTAGCTCTTGAATCACTTAAATATAGCGGTGTATTTTCATCAGTTTGAACATTTCTTCCTGAGACAGATGTTGGTATCAGGAAAACAACACTTGTAAGAGACAGATCAATTATTTCAGGAACATGGAGGTGCTAGGCCTTTTTCAAGAACATGAGATCATAAATCTCAAGAAAATCTGAGAACTGGTGTAATATTTTTCACCTAAAGTGGCACTCAAGGTCAGGGTTACCAATTAAATTTTAATACTGAGCTTTAAAAATTTCCTTCTAGCTAAGCATAGAAGATGACACAAGATTTATTTCAGTTTGCATGAGTTGAATCTATATGCCAGAGCGTGTATTCTTTGCACTGAGTTCAGGTTTTTAAACTGTCGCACAATTATCTAATGTTTGTAGAAGTCATACATTCTGTATTTAAGTTCACAGTCTTTAGGTTGTAACTAAAAAGAAAACAACTCATTGTTCTGTATTGTAATGTTTAAGATTAGATGGACTGGATGGGGCATGTGCAGCTAGCTTACTCACTTTCTGAGTTTAAGGTATTCATGTGATTTGTGATAACCTTGACTAGTAAATGTACAGATAAAGGTAAAATTGATGAGTCCTTTCAGAAAGCTTGGGTTGTTCCTGTGCTCATTATTAAATTCTTGATTACAGAAAGATATCTGTGTTTAGAAAGGCTGTGTCTTTTCTTACTCAAGAGATAACTTATCCATTCTTTTGCAGAGAATATCTTTAAGATGGTCACTTTCTCTTTTGTGCATAGGGTTGATATATATGGGCATTTGTATTTCTTTTGTGAAGAAAAGAATTCAAATAATCTTTCTTTCATTATCAACTGCATTACATGACATTAAGTGTGGTAGTGTCATTAATTATAAAACATGTATTCTTGCCCCCCAAAATATGCATATTTTTCACTCAGGAGAGGAACAGATATAATCACAGAGTTTTGATTGCATGGATATAAATATAAAAGTTTCAGTATCATGTCCTATCTTATATATGGATCTATAATGGTATGGTATAGTGTCTCTAAAACAGTGAATAATCTTATAAGTAAAAATTCTATAATTATGTAGTGTGTGCAAAAAAGCAAATAAGTCAGAAAATACAAGATTAAAATGACTTATACATTAATGTTTATATAATTTTTGTTATGGTTTACTGTATTGAATTAAAATTTAATGTGATCTCTTTGGTGTTTTAATTTCAAAGGATTGCTAAGTATGTGCCAAACCTAAACATAATTGTTGGGTTCTTTTAGATTTGCTTTAAGCATATTATCAGTTTGCCCAATAGAGAAAATTTACATTTTACTTTCCAAATAGGATACTTTCATGAGAAAAACACTAGTCTAGTATGTTTGAATCACTGATCTAAAAACATTATTTTCTTGTTTTTTTAAGAGAAAAATATACATACTTGAAGGTTTTAGTAAGTGAGCTTTTGCCTGTAATGAATAAGTAGCAGTTTCCATAAATTGTAATATTTCTATATTAATCAGTCAAACCTGCTTGTTTCTCTTCTGTCACCTTCAAAACTAATTTATCATCAAATATAAATCCTAATCTAAATATTAGGAGCGTAAGTGTAAATGTGTAAAAATGTATTTCACATTGAAAGAAATGAACTTGAAAAAACTGGGACGGTAGAACCCAGTGATTAAGATTCATCTCAGAGAAATGAGAAATCCAAGCTGCGAATGAATGCGGGAGAGCATGCTCTGGTTTTTAAAGTAGCTGATTCTTTTTCTTCCCTGGCTTCTTCTAAGCTATAAACAATAAGACTAGTTTTGCACTAAGGCAGTTGATCCCCTTGTAGTTATTTTCAGGACTACCTTTCTCATTCCCTTTACCATAACAGATTTCAGAAATGAACATCACAGTCTCTGGCTTGTGTCTTTTTTGGTTTGAGGATTCATTTCTCCCTTTAAGTTCACAAAGGATCGCTGGCAGGTTGCCTGGCAGGTCTGTACATGCTTTTTACCAAGCTAGTTTCTCTCTCTGTCTCTCTCTCTCTGTCTCTCTCTCTCTCTCTCTCTCTC